ATATATTAACAACAGAAAACCACTAACAAGTTATAGATTGTAGATTTTCATTTTTTTCAATGTTTATGACATGCTCTTTCCATGCTTCAAATTCTGTAATGATTTATTTTAAAGTCCTTTAGGATTCAGTAACTGAAATATTAGTGCATTCTCTTTTGTTTGCAAACACCACATAGTTTTTATCTGTTGATCTCAGAATTAAAAAAAAAATTAGTGGTTGCCTGAATTTGCCATTTTATTATTATACTCAATAACCTTATCGTTATGTACATTCCTGTTCCTGTCAGGACACATCATCTTTTCCTTTTTTGTTTGTTTGTTTGGACAATCTAATTAATTATTCTGATCAGCAGCTTAATCTCTTCTAACATCTTCGCTCTTGTCTGAACTTAATTCATCGATCTGCTCAACATTTTCAACACTGCTAGGATTTGTGTTCTTGTCTGAATTTATAATTTCATCATTCTGCTCAGCAACTTCACCACTGCTAGAATTTGTGTTCTTGTCTGAATTTATAATTTCATCACCCTGCTTATTAATTTTACCATCACTAACATTCTTGTTCTCATCTGAAATTATTATTCCATAATACTTAGCAGCTTCACTGCTAAGATTCTTGTTCTTTTCTGAACTTGTTACATCATGCTGGACAAGTTTGTCACTGCTAACATTCTTGTTCTTGTTTAAACTTATTACATCATCATCCTGCTCAACAACTTCACTGCTAACAATCTTCAGCTTTTCTGAACTTGTTACATCATCATGTTGAACAAATTCATTACTGCTAATATTCTTGTTCTTGTCATAATTTGTTAGGACATCCTGCTCAATAATTTCAGCACTGCTAAACTGGTTCTTGTTTGATCTTTCTTTATCATCCTTCTGTGTTCTGCCATTGTTGTCATCAAATTCAGAACTGTTTACAGTAAAAGAAGATTTGTCATCTGTATCTTCATTCGCAATCTTCCTGTTTTGGTCCGAGTCTTCTGTGTTATTAGAGCTAGTATTGTTATCATTACTACAGAATGTGATGTTGATTGAGTTTGTTGTTACATTACTTTGCAATTTGTTTTCATCATCCAGATCATTCATTTTTTTATCTGAATCTCCAAAATTATCATTACTCTGTTCAAAATCCTCATCACTACTAAGTTCTGTCTTGGCTGCAGAACTCTTTTCACCTTCAGATTCTGAACTTTCATTCCTCAAAAGCTTTTTGCTTGAAGAAAAATTATCAGTTGCAGGTGATGGAATCCAGCAACTCATCTGTATCTGACTACTAAGGTCGACAGAGTGGACTCTGCGTAAAGGAACATTGTGTTTTTTAGTCTTGGTTCTTTTCAATGTCTGACTCGCATGTTCAGCAAATGCTAACATTTTCTGAGTTTTCTGAAATGAGAACAGAAATAAGAACATTAATCTTATTAAACATCCATAAAATGATAAAGAATGAAGTTATTTGGTAATTTTTAGTATTAGGGATTTTCGACTTGAAATATATCACAGCATTTTCATAACAGCAAAAAACTGATCAAGTATTAATAGTTTATGAAATATAACTTTTGTTTAATTAAATAAATGTAGTATCATACCTGGTAGATTTATCAGTGAAAACTATTTATTTCTTGATGTTTTGGTAACTTCAATATTATTCAATGTAAGTTAATTTATCCTTTTCCAATCATGTGGGTAAGGGTAATAAGGAAGATATGGTTAATGAACCATGTGACTGAGGAAAGATAAGAGAGGTTAATTAACAAATCGGTTAACAGCTGTTAGTTATGTCAATAATTTAAGGATGCTCATGAAATGCCAGATAAACCAATTACGTGGCTGATAGGCAGTTAAGTAATTAAATTAGCCAATTATTATAAGTATGGCTGATAAGCAGAGGTTCAGAAAAAAAAAGAATTTAAGGTATCAAATTATTACTATAAAGAAATGGAAAAGACAACTATAAATATGTAAATATAAAGTTTAGATCTACTATTATAGAACCACATATTTCAACATTTTTGTGTGTCCTATTAAGTATAACTTTTGTTTCTGAAACACACACAGCTTATTTCATAATGGAAGTTCCAAGTTGCTTCAGGGCACAAGATTTAAAACAAAATAGGGTTCAGCTTGATGTGACCTCCAGAGGTGTTGAAATTTTGCAACCTTTTAATTAAAGAACTTTCTACAATTCTTCTTTTTGACATAAATTTCTAGTTTTATGCATTATTCTGGATGGTTTCCGGTTCAATTGATAATAAAGATTCCTCATTTGTAGAGAAACAGAATTATTTGTTTCACCATTTTAAACATTCTTCATGTTCTGAGTCTTCTATCTAAATTTCTACTTGTTTCACCAATGTAAAGTTTTTATGCAGGATTGGCATGAGACTATACAGACATCCTGCTCTTTATCTTGAGGTGAAGACTTGTTCAAGGGTAAGAATTTTTAATGGTGTAAGGATATTAATAAACAACTTAGAAACTGTTATTTTTCAGACATTTCTCTAGCCACAGTACTAAAAATGTAGTTGACGCTAAGTATTTTCTTTTAATTTTCATGTAGATGATGCCTTCTTACCTTTTGATGGGCATTTTTGATAAAGCTTATAGCACATTATAGGCTTTCAAAAATTGTAATATTATTTTTTTGATTTCTTTATTACAGATCATGTGGTGACACATTCTATAAAAAACCTCTTAAAAATATTAGTTATATCTAATATTTTAACCATTTTGTGGTGTCATTGGGAAACGTGAACATTGTTTAAAGGGTTTGATGAATTTCTATAGATAGGGAGATTAAGTCCTGTTTCTGATCTTGTTACGAGAACATCTAAATATGGAAGTGAATTACTGGTTTCCCATTCCACTTTAAACTTAATACTGTGAAGCTTATTATTATTCTTCTGGAAAAATACTTGAAAACCATTTTTATTGTTTGATCAAACAGAAAATGTGACATCAATTTATTGGAACCAAGGGATTTCCTTTGTATTTAAGTCCACTGTAGGAAGTATATAATTTTAAAAATACTTCATAAAGATATTACATAAAATTGAGGATAAAGACTTGCCAATTACTATTTCAAATTTTTGTTGGTAATATTATCCATCTTAATAGATAATCTTCAACACATACTTTGACAAGGAATATAAAAGTATGGACAGGCACAGAAATCAGAATGTCAAGTTCAGGTAATTTTCTTTTTAGGAAGTATACCGTTTTGTAGATTGGTACATTTGAACAAAGAATCAAAACTGACCATCTCTTTTTCAGTTATGTTAATTTTTCATTTTACTGGCACAATCTATATTACTCAGAACATGTGATGATGACAAGAACTTTCCCGCAGCAGGAGATGGATGATGTGCTAGCCATTTGGATAACAAATAATTGCCTGATTCTACATTGGAAATAATAGGTCTAAGAGGTCAGCTATCTTTATGCATTTTAGGCAAACCACACATATATGCCAGAAAAGAATTGATCCACTTAAATAAAAATTTTGAAGACATCAGGATAACCAGCTAGGAATTTGTTAAAATCTGATACTTAGAAAGTGGTTAGTCTCAAGTGTATTTTCCTACTGTCCTGCAGGAAATCCTTCAGTTTTGTTTCATAGACAGGTTTATCCCGGATGACAATTTGGTTATATTCTGTCAGATTTATCCAACAATATCCTTATTCTTTTTTTAATCTTCTTTCACAAACAAAAGTTAGACTGAAGAGCACATGCAAAAGTGTCAAAACTTGTGGTTCTGTAATAATGGATCTATACTTTATTTTAATTACTTTATATGGTATTCTGCATTTAACTAGTATAAGTAAATGTAAATTCTAACAATATTTTGATGAAAATGATACCAAAGCAGGAATAGTTATTTTAGGGATTTCACACCCCTCCCCCAAAAAGTCATTCTTTACTGTACGATGTGACACCTCTGATATTTTTCTCACAATTGCAAAAATGCTAGTTAGCTCATTAAAATATATTTTTTATAGGAATGTGTTTCTTGAGTACAAGCACCCTTTTCATTCTTAATTTAGGATATGGGATGACAACAAAACTTTATCAGAATGGGATTCCATGGGTACCATTTTCTGTATTCTATCTTCTGAGCTACCAAGATCTTCTTATTCCACTGTAATTCCTTTTAAGAGCAAAAATTAGAATCTAATACGTGAAAATATATGTAATGCAAGTTATTGGAAAACAGGAATCCAGCCAGTGGCTCTGGGGTTCCACATACTGTGTCAGTGTGTAAACACCTATTCTTACCATGAATGACACATAACAAAATTTATATTTGTAAATTTATTACCAAACCAGTTTTATTTAAACTGTTACAAGGTCTAGATAGAACCTTTTATGCCATTGCATTGTCCTTGTCTGCTTTCTCAGAAAAATCAAGTATTAAATATCAAAAACATGGAATGCTATTTCAAAGAATAAAGTCTGACGGATTTAAATGAAATCACATTAAAACTTTGGTAAAATCAAAAACATGCATAGTGTAAAAGAAACAAAAATCTTTAACAA